AATTGTCTTAGCTTTTGAACTACGAGTATAGTAAGATGAGATAAGGAAAGTTGAGCTAATTTCTGTTTGTATGATGATATCCTTGTTCTAATTGGTTGACGAATTAGCCCATCGGAAAACTTCATTGGAAAAGCCAAGATGACAAAAACAGGAAATCTCGTTGATGACATCATGACTTTACTGATTACTTCCTTTCCATAGCATTGTGGTTTCCGTATGACTACAACCAGGCATTTCCAGCTATCTGGAAAACTTGGAAAAGTCAGGGAGAAAATAGAGGTCCTGAAAAAACCGAAAAAAGTCGGGAATTTCGCTCTGCAAGCCTGGTATTTCCAAGAAAAGAACAAAACCAAATTATCTTTTTTTCTTGGAAGCTGTCGGGTCGAAATATGTCAAATACCCGCCACGCGTTGCATTCCGACCCAGCGGTGCCGGTCCATCATTCTGCTGTCCCGCAGTATTGAATTGTGATGTCCGCCATCACAGCCGAACTTCTGATATGTTCTCCCCGACATTCTGAAGGAAAATGTTACGGATGACAAGTTATAACTCTGCCTCTCTAAAATGGACGAATTAGAAATAAACCGAACGAGCCAAGTACGAAGAAAATCGTACACGGTATTCAAGAGCATCATAGAGTATCCAAAATATATTCACAAATGTTTTTGGATATAATGCTCTGTTAACTTCAACGTATTTCCGCTAACGTTCAACGAGTTGCGCGACTGTTGCTGTGGCTGCAGAGACCGAATAGAATTGAGTGTCTTTAAGGTCTCTATTCAGGTTCAGAAGAACCCAAAGAATACCAAATCCAGGCTAGTCCAGGCAAATAAGCCATGAAAAGGGCTATAGCCTGCAAAAATCCCGGGTAGCAATGTTTGCATCGATTCCTTTGTAATTTTTGACGCTGAATCCGAATTTCAACTTTGCGCCATTAAATTCGGACCGGAAAGTTGCCAAATTCGGCAAAAATGGCCTAAAATCGGACTTTTTTCCGGATTATGGCCTGTAACTTGCCAAAAATTGATCTGACGATAAAATGAGTTATTTTCAGAAATAAAGCTCGTTAAATTTCCTATACACTTTTTTGCTCCAGGCAAAATCAAGCGCGCTGGCGGGCTCCAAACTTTGAAAAATGAGCGAAAATTTGGTTATTTGCGGGTTATGGCCTGTGACTCGTCCAAAATTGATCTAACGACAATTTGGTTGTTTTAAAAAAAAGTTCATTAAATTTCCCATAAAAAAGTTCCTATACACTTTTTTGCTCAAGGCAAAATTAAGCGCGCTGGCGGGCACCGAACTTTGAAAAATGAACGAAAATTGCGTTTTTTTGCGGTTTTTGCAAAAATCCCGGGTAGTTATGCTCTCAGCGATTCCTACGTAATTTTTGACGCTGAATCCGAATTTCAACTTTGCACCATTAAATTCGGACCGGAAAGTTGCCAAATTTAGCAAAAATGGCCTAAAATCGGACTTTTTTCCGGATTATGGCCTGTAACTTGCCAAAAATTGATCTGACGATAAAATTAGTTACTTTCAGAAATAAAGCTCGTTAAATTTCCTGTAAAAAAGTTCCTTTACATTTTTTTGCTCAATGCAAAATCAAGCGCGCTGGCGGGCTCCGAAATTTGAAAAATGAGCAAAAATTGTGTTTTTCGCGGTTTTTGTCCGATGTCTCCTGTTTTAATCGTCCGACGAGTAATTTCTGGACAAATTAAGTGAAGATGATAAAATTTACACTTATTGAAATGAATTGATGTAAATAATGAGGATAACCCAACACATTACAGGATGCGCAATTTTCGCACATTTTACAAAGTTTGGAGCCCGCCAGCGCGCTTGATTTTGCCTTGAGCAAAAAGTGTATAGGAACTTTTTTATAGAAAATTTAACGAGCTTTATCTCTGAAAGTAACTAATTTTATCGTCAGATCAATTTTTGGCAAGTTACAGGCCATAATCCGGAAAAAAGTCCGATTTTAGGCCATTTTTGCCAAATTTGGCAACTTTCCGGTCCGAATTTAATGGCTCAAAGTTGAAATTCGGATTCAGCGTCAAAAATTACAAAGGAATCGATGAAAACATTGCTACCCGGGATTTTTGCAGGCTCTTTTCCTTGTTTGCCTGGACTAGGCGTTCAATGTTGACGAGAGTTGGACGGCTGCAATGAGGTCGGGCATCATGATCCTGTAACAAGAATTTTGTGCGTGCTGGTTTCGTTCTTCGAATTCTGGATGTTAAAAGTTTTGATGTCCCGCAGTGTTTGCCTAAATTGGTGTTTTCTTGTATTTTAATATCTGTCGCACCTACGATAACTCGCCTAACAATTAATATTTTGAGCTTAAATGTTGATGGTGGTTAGAGGTCCACTGAAATTGGTTTGCTATATTACTCCAGCAAAGTTGGACCACGCGTTCTGTAATAGTGTCAATTTACAGTTTTTATTGAGGGGGGTGGGAGGAGAGTGGTCGCGCCCTAATTAAAGTAAAAATAAATATTTGGAGCTGAAATTTGAACGGTAGTTAGAGGTCTATTAAGCGGGTCTGTCTCGGTCGTTTTAGCTTTATTTTCTGTTTTTAAATTCGGCTGAAGATGGGAGCTTCTTAGCCCCGCAGTGTCCTGAAAAAAATGTTTTAAACATCTTGTTTCAGCATTGAGCCTGTTATTGATTTTGTATTTCCTGTATATTATACATAATTTAAAGACATGTGATATGTTCGTGTAGCCTCGAATAACGTGGCTTGATTTTGAGAATAATTCGAGGCCTTGAAAGTGTCTGAATTTTACCCATACTATTTGTCAGCACTAAATGCTTCTTGTTAAGAATCAAAGCATTTGATGTCGAATTCAATCGTTTGGAAAGATTTTTTACAAATAAAAGTAGGAACAACCTCCAAGAGAATCAAAAATTACCCACTTGCACTCCCAATCCTAGTGTAGCACTTCCTCATTGGGCAACCCTTCAAAACTTGAAGTTAAGCACAAAAGCACCGCATTTAAGTAAAAATCATTGTTAGAGATCCGAAAGTGTCCTTATCTTAAGTATCAATGTGGGAGGAAGGTTGCGTTGTAGATTGGAAGTTACACAGCGCTCTAGTTCGCTGGCTTAAAGTGGCTTTGCGGCATTTTCGCGGCTTTTTGTATTTGGCAAGGAAATTCACCGATCCCCTCAAATTTGCCCAATAGCTGTAATTCGACGGAGGCATGTCCAAAGAAGTCGTGATAGATGATAGACCCGTTAACTTTCAGCATAATTTCACCAAGTCCATCAACATCACAATCGTCTCGTTTGTTGGTTTCATTCGTTATGCTTTGAGGAGCTGACGAAACTTCGAATATCCGCCTCCCGGTATGAACTTGATCTATATTTTTAGCTGAACTTAAGTTGGTCGAATGCTCCATTTTCAGTCCCATTGATTGTTCCGGTTTATTTTTAGATCGGATATTATTTGTCACTTTTACATGCGGCAACCCTACGAGTTTCCCCGTTTTATTTTCACGAATTCTTTTAGCCTGATTTCAATTGTTTCAGTCTTATTCGCAATGCCCGCTTGCCTACCAGTTTCAAAGGAGAGTGAGTCAATTAAATTTTTCCTAAAACAAATTCTCTATAACCGGACTTCACGAGCCGTAACAGGGATACCTCGATACCTACCAATTTATTGTAAAGAACAACACTTCCGAGAATTCTTCATCAATTAGACTTAAAGATAGCTGTCAACAACAACTGCCAGTCTTAATAATTTTAGACTCGTCCTTTTCATGGGCCAACACAGCCGCAAGTACGTGGATCTTTTAGTTGTGCAAAAAACTTAATTCTGCTCGTCAGTAAAAAAAAAAATACAAAAATAGTTATGCCTCCTTCTCAGGTTTTTTTTTTTTGTAATTTACTCAAAGTGGAAGCATGTCTTCTTATCACCGAACATCCTAGCAACTTCTTCGGACTACGAAAACAGGTGTCAAACTCCCCCCCCCCCCCCCCNACTTAGTGAGTTCCCACCCTACTATACATTTCACAGTCCCCTTTTCCTAAGCAGCACTGTACTTTGTGTTCCGAGGGAAGCTTCGAGAAGCGGAAGCCTTCCCGAGGAAAATGTTTTGAAAATTCTCTGTGTAAGCTTCTTAAGGATAAAATCAACATTTTATGTTGTTTATGTATGCTTACTAAATAGTCAAAATGCTGTACAAAGTCAAAACATTACGGAGATCAGCGTGAAACTTTGTGCTCCTGGGCACGGCTGCGGGACTCAGGCGTGAGACCCATACATGGATTCTGTCGCGTCAAATTTCAAAAAGCGTAACTCCGAAACTAATCATTTCTCCATCGTGTTCTTAAGTTTATTTTAAAGAAGAAAACAAAGGCTGTCTTTTGTGCACATACTTAAACATTTTGTGCAACCCCTCACATCGGAAAATTGAAAAATCCAAAATTAATTATCAAAAAAGTCAATGAACCATATCCTCGTCAAAAATAAACGATTACCGATTTATTATTCTCAATAGAAAGAGTTTATTTTGCTCTTTCATTCAAATACGGTTCAAAAACCGTTCGAAAGTTATGTCCAACATTTGATTTTTCTTTGGCCCTTCCCCGCCCCCCTCCTCCCGCCGTGGGGCTGGATAAAAAATTCCGCCATTCTTAAATTTCTCTAACCTACCTCTACAAAAGGTGAAAAATGACAGTAGGTATGACAAGATTCCGTTCTGGGCCCAGTCCTTCTGGAAGATGCATACTTATACCTCTTTAATGCAGTCCTTAATACCCTTTCAAGTCTTATGTTTTCCTTACTAGAGGTCCTCAAATAGTTCTCAATTTGGGTCTGAGAAGCTGTCATAAGCTTGCTGATTGCTGAGATTGTGGACCAGAAACACTACGCTTGTGAGCTATTTACTTCTGCCCCAGAACCGCGTATTAAATATTCATCATCAGTTTAAACTGCATGACTTTAGTTCGTATGCTGAATCACTGATATAATTTTCTTTTCTTTTTTGTTATATCAGGCGTCTGGAGTCACAGTGTCTGATATCTGTAAAACAACTTATGAAGAAATAAAGAAGGATAAAAAGCACCGTTATGTTGTTTTCTTCATTAGAGACGAAAAGCAAATAGATGTTGAAGTTATAGGTAAGCTTTTTATATTACACACAATACATTTTTATAATGATATGAATTTCCTTTCAATGAGACTTTTCTGAGTGATATGTTCAGGATATTTTAAGTATATTAGGGAATACGCCCCTTGGCTGCTACGTGGCCCAACCCACTCCCATCCCCGAGAATGAATCGAATAGATCGGGAGGTTGCTGTCATTTTGGTGTCCCTTTTGGATGTGGACGAAATTTTCAATATCAACGAAAATTCCAACCTGATTCCGAAAATCGAGTTCTGGCTGGTCAGACCCGTTAATTTCAGCCTACAGTAAGGCTCTGATAGTGCCGAAACTATTGAAAAAATTTCCCATCTATAAATAAAGCAGATCTCCATTTTCAAATAGAACTTTGCATCCTGATTCCGAAAACAGACGTTTGCAGGACCGAAACTGTTACGTTCAGCCGCAGCAGGGCTCTGAAGGTGCCAAATATTCTGACAAAAATGTCCAATGACCAGGATTGCGCGGATGACCTGAGGATTCTCTTCAAAATCAAGTATTGCGCGAATGGGCAAGGGCTGACATATCAAGGATTGTGCGAAAAAGTAAGGATTGCGTGTAAGCGGTGTCTGTTGGGCAACGCTGTATGATTGATAATCGTAAACCAGAAACACGCACACTTTGCCAGGCTTAGGATTGGCCGTCGATCATGACTGATGATGGGTGTGTTTAAAATTTTGTGTAGGCTTACACGTGCTGCAATATTGTTTTTGAACTCTACCGCAACACATTTCCAGATGCCATCACACGATCCACTCGAAATTCAAATTTCTGTATAACCAGACTAAATTTCCCTCTCTCCGACGTCATCAGTCAAAAATTCATTTTCAGTACTTTAAAGGAGGGAGCAAAATAAATTGAGTACACTATCCGCTAATCACTATGCACTTAAAAAATCTGGGGTCAACGAGAAAATTCATTTTCAGCACTTCATAGGGGGAGCAAAATATAAGGACTGGACTGTCCGCTAATCGTGATGCGCCAAATAATCCGGCGTTAACAAAAGTAATAGGTAGTGTTTTATTAAATGTAGATGACATACCCTCTAACCCAATAGCCTGTTTTACCTTCCCTCTGCCGTGATGGTGGAGAAAGCAGCAAGTGCATTTTCGTTGATGATCGGTCGAGCCCAAATGGATGGATTATACGTTGTCGTATTTCACTTTGACGCGATCATAAATTTTCGAACCAACATCGAGAATCACCCGACAGAGAGAAGGTGAAATTCTTGCAAATGTTGCAGCCAAAGTATAATTCTGAGTACAAAAATTAGGGTTTAGAAATGACCTTATGATGATGGTGGCATCCGACCAGCATCAATTTCGAAAGCCTAAACTCAAATGTTTGCTAACCCGATTATGATCTCGCCGCCATTATCGAGGCATTTTGGCTCGGCCGACCATTGATGAAAATACGCTTCAAGTGTCAAATGTTCCAAAATTCTCGGGGAAATGATGGCAACCCCGGTATTCAACTCCAAGGAATCCAATTTTCAGGGTCCCGAAGCCCCCCTAGCACTCCCGGGGGGTTAACGGGGGTGCTAGGGGGGCACAATTTCAAAAGTCGGGGTTCCCTTCCGAATCGCTAATTGATGACATCGAAATCGAAAAGTGCAACAAATGTTAACTTTAATCGACTCCCCGGAATTCAAATTGACCGTCTCAATGTCCAAAAATTCTTCCCTACGGGGGACCGGTGTCTCCTCCACTAATTGCTCAAAACTGGCGTCGATCCTGCGGAAAAGGATGGTATGCCAGTGAACTTACTTCGAGAAATCCGAAATTCATTGTCACGGAGCTCACCTGTCTTCCCTTTTGAAGTTCGGGGGTATAACGAAGAATTTCATCCTTCGTTTTAAGTTTTTCTCTTTAACCGCGGCCGACTCGGCAACACCGTGCAGCGTCGTCCGGCGCGATCAGCCGATGCCGAAAAATAAAATTAAAAAAGCAAAGGGCACTATTCAAAATAGGCGTTTTTACCCCCCCCGGAAATCGTGTCATATGTTAGGGGCTGATAAAAGGTCATCTGAGAAGCCGAAAAATGGTCGGTTTTTTTTGCCCTAAACGCCGGGAACAGGGGGGCGGGGGGTCAAAGCCCAAATTTTTGAATGATGTAACTTTTGAACGGTACAAGTTATTGCAATTTTCTTTTTTGCGTTGGATTCAACGTAAAAAATACTGTAATTTTAAGTGGTTGAATTTGAAAAAATAATTATTTTTGACCAAGTTTTGATGATTTTTCGATGTAATTGACCTTATGTGTAGGGCGGACGAAAGTCATAACTCAAGTGTGAAAGCACTTAGAAACGTGAAAATTTGTATACATCACAATTAGAGTATGAACTGTCAGCTGACTATTCCGAAAATTCTAGGAGAGCACCTGTGGTGGTGAAGAGAGGGGAGGTTTCCGGAGCCCTAGGCGCGTGCCCGGAATCGCCAAGATACACTTAGAGCCTTCTCATATGTGTAACATACAACTTGCAAATTTATTTTCTTTACTTTGCTCAATTTTTAAAAGAAAATTTCCCAATAATGGCAGTCCAGTGGGTAAATGGCACCAGGATACACGCAAACACGGTGAACTAGAGGATCCGATAGATAATTAAGAATGAATGATATCATAATATTATTAAATGTCAGGAGGAAAAGGTGCGACAAAAAAGCAAATTAAAATCAGCGAACATTGTTATACGATGTCTGAAAGGTATAGTAGCACTGAATATATTGGTATTTGGAGTGTAGCCGAGTGCTAGAAATAATGTAAAATTTTCTTTAGTAAAAGAGAGTAGAAGAATTAGAGTAATAACTAGTAATAGTAAGAATGTAACTGGCGTTTACCGTTTCAATTGTTATTCATGCAAGAACATATGTATCGGAAAAACTTGAGTGCTCAATCAACTGTAGAGATAATGAACACATGACACTTCCATCCTCGGATGTATCTAAGCACATCAAAGCAGAAAATCATCAGATGAAAGAAATTAAAATGCTACACAAAAACAGGGACAGAAAAATGTTAAGCGTCCTAGAAAAATATGACATATGTACAAAAAGAGGTAGATCTGGCAACTAATTCCCTGTACATAAAATATGCTGCCATTTCTGACGAGAGACAGGTACTAAGCATAAATTGACAATGTTTTGATTATTAATATTGTTTTGATCTAATAGCTTGTTATCAATTGTTACCATCAATGAAATCTGTTACCTTGTTTGAAATTAAATTATGGCCTTTGTGATATCGATTTTGTGACCCTGACGATGAAGCGTTTGCCTCGAAAAGCTTCGGTCTAAGTTTGTTAATAAAATGTAAGGTTTTTAAAGACAATTTTACATTATTTCTAGCACTTGGCAACACTCCAAGTACCAAAAGAAAGAAAGAAAAATTATTTCAAAAATTAGTTTTAAACAGAATACATTAATAGAGCAGAAAGTACCTCAGTCATAGATAGAAAACAATCATGGCACCTCATCTACCCGAAATGAAACAAATAACGGTATCACGGACACGAGGAAAAATAAACAAGAGAAAAGTTGAGAGACCTAACTTAAGGAAAAAAACGTTCTTTAAGTACTTACAGTGAGAAAAAGTCGACACATATTCAGTGTGATGCATGAACAGTTAGTGCCCAAAGTTATCGATCCTAATATAACTGTCAGTGTAGGGGAGGAAGAGGGAGGAGGGCTGAAAAAATTGAATTTGGATCAAAATCATCTTTACTATACTATCTAATAGGTGTGTTGGTGCATGTGGTCTCATTCCATACTTAAGACAAATTAACAACATAGCATTTAAATGCAGATCCGCAGAAAGTCAATATTTGGTCAAGTTACAGGTCGAATTCAGATCCATTAACGGTGTAGATATTTCGGGTTTCGGGCTCAAATCTCGATGGGTTCTAAATCTACTTGAAAGAGGCTGTCCCATTTTCCATAAGAAATGGCCGCAAGAGATTTTCCCTCCATACTTTCAGGAATCATAACGGATCATCGGAGAGGCCTAAATCTGGTGACCTTTTCCGTCTAGCCCTCCAAGGGGGGAGGGGGTCAAAGGTGAAACGCACAGACCGCCATAACTTTTGAACGAAGCAACGGATCAAATTGATCTTGGGCTCAAATGAAAGCTCTCAACAATACCTTTCATTTGATGTATATTAAATTCTGTTTTTGGTAATTTTTTAATGTGAAAAAAATCATTGTTTGATTTTTCAAGCCCAAAAAATTCAGTTTTTCGGGTTTTTTCTATGAACGGGAACGCATGAATCGTTACAAAAATCAATTTCGCAAAAAAGGTGCTTGATTCAAGCTTTAAAATGAGCTATCGTTGAACCTGGTGAAATGAATGGTTCAAAAGTTATGACCGTTCAAAGTTGGCGTGGCGCGCTATTTTCGAAGCGCGCGGAGTGTATACTTGCGTGCCACCCCTCCCTACCTTTTCCCCCGGTGCCCACTTCAGCTGATAACGGATACAGAAAGGTCCAAAGCTCCTCCCTCCATCTAAAGAATGACCAATCATTGGTGCAAAATTACTTTCATTTCTAACGAAAAAAGGAAATAAAAATATATTAAATGCTAATAAACGACAAGACGCTGGCATATATTATTTATTCCCCCCCCCCCAATCCATGATTTAATATTTAATACCCAAATCAAGCCCCTCGTCATTGCGGTGTCTGATTATTCCCGTGCAGGTAAATCTTGATGAGAGAGGAATAGATGGGAGAGAGGTGAGGGAGAGATATTCAGTAGTGAATGCGAGTTTTAAGTGCTGGTCGGCTGGTTGCGTACTAGAGCCTATGAATATTATCGACAGCTTATGAGTGTATTTTGCAGTAAAAGAGGCTTGATTTGGCTATTAAATACTAAATCATGGGGGGGGGGGGGGGGGGGCGAAAAAATAATGTATGCCAGCGTCTCATCGTTTATTAGCATCAGAGACGGTCTTCTTAACGGCAATTTAACACCAGTGGCTTCGATTTCGTTAGGTTATTAGTTGGCCCACTCCACTCATCTGCCTGCCCGATTCAGTTTAGTGCAGTGGCTGGACGTCGCACACTGTGGTATTGGACCTGAATAGCTGGCCAAAACTATTTATCACCAGATATCGCCGAGTTTTAAAAATATTTTACTATCAGTACTTCTTCTTAAGTGATAATATGCACAATTTAACCTCCTAACACATCATATGACAATTTGCGGAGAGTTTAAAGAGGGTGCAAGAAGCCCTCCAAAAAGCCTTTAAAAGGACGCAAAGTATCTAACTAAAGCGGTGCATTTAGACGAGTTTCTCCTTCACTTATGGTCTACTTTTCGAAATAAGGACTTCCTATTACCTCATTAATGGTTATTTTTAAAACAGCGTAAGTCACTTCAAAATTCTTGACGAAACAGCCGATCTCTCACATTAAGGAGTAATTGTACATTTCTCAAAAAATTAATATGAATCATTCTAGATATTAGATTTTTGACAGTTTTGAATCAAAATTAGTGCCAGTATGAAAGTGCCGGGACCTCCATATGATGATTTGAGGATAAATTATAAGATGAAAATGAGTTCTATCATAATAAGAAGAACCATTGTAAGGACAAACAACACCTGTGAAAATGATTCATTTTGATGAGTTCCTTCCTAACCCATGGTCCACATCTCAAAGTGAGGCACTTTACTACGAAATTCGTAAGAAAACCACATATCTCACTATTACGAGGCTTCAAATGTGCCTCACAGCGTAATTTCATGGTGCCAGAGGGCCACTTTTAAAGCCCCATCCCCGGGGCCGCATGGACTCAAATTTGTCTGTCAAAGTAAATCATGGCATAAATATGTCTATACTCAAGGATAATGCACGAAGAGATTGTTAGATGACGGATTAAACACTTTTGCAAGACTTTAAAGTGACCCTCCCATCCGCTTTCAAATTAGTTTTTTTATCCCTCTTTCGAGGGCGTAGGGGCCAAAGAAACAAGTTGCGTGACCGAATATCACCCAATTGGTACTAACTGGGTCAGAGCTATTGGAAAAATACAATTTCAGTCGTTAGTATCGACATAATTTTTCCCATTCATGTTCGTGAAAATCGCTCAAAAGTCCATCTTTAAAGTCAAAAATTTCAATTTCCTCAGTTTTCCTCAGTCTGTCACCCCTGAATCCTGAAAATACCCACTTCGGACTTTAACATCCCGCCTCAAACTGCTTGAGAACAGTTGAGAGAAACAAGATATCGGCCTCTGAATTTCGAAAAAAACGTTTACTTTTACATCACTTTTCAACCTCCTGTGAAAATCACTAAAAAAAAGAAATTTCGAAAATACTGTGGTTAGTTGTGTAGAATATACCCCTAAGAATGTGTTGCATATCGCCGAATTTCCCTCTTATGATCGCACAGTTGAAGTAAACTGATCCTCGAGTAGCGCGCCGAAACACATCAAAATAATCGCTGAGAAATAGGTAACTTCGTGGTCTCTTCGCGGGAAATTGAGCCACTCGAAAAATGGTACATACATGTCTACCAGGGTAAAAAACAGTGTAGATTTCCAATATCACATTGGTTTTCCACTAAAAAAAAATTTAAAATTGAGGTTTTGGCCAGATTTTTCGGTCAAATACCACAGTGTGCGTCGCGTCGATATCGCGTCGCGCCGATACCAAAAGACGCGATCTACGGGATTCCTGATTCCCCTGATCGCCAAGCGCCGCCGCGCCGCGACAACACCGAAAGACGCGTTGTTAAACTCAAAAAGTGAAGTCAGCGAAATAACGTCAGTCCGCCATTTTGGAGTTATCCGCTTAGCAAAACAAACACAAATATTGCCTATGTCGTAGTAATAGCAACTCAGCCAGCTCAGCGGGCCGCGGACCATAGACACGTTGTTAAAGTTAGAAATTGAAGTCAGCGAAATGACGTCAGTCCTCCATCTATACTATAAGCTCCAAGACCTCCTAATTTTGCGAAACTGGTAACGCTTAGTTCCAGCGTTCTACCGGGCCGATTTTCATGATTTTTGCGGCTATCGACGGACAATTGTCTTTACGTGGTAAAGTTGCGAATTCTCCCATTTAAACAATGTAAATTTATACTTTTTGTCATAGTTCGTTTGAGCGTTCTGCCGGGCCGATTTCCATGATTTTTGCGTAAATCGACAAGTAATAGGCCCTAGATGAGCCCGCTTTAATCAGATTTTGGAAAAAAGGCCCAGGTTTTTTTAAAATCACGTCATAAAAGTGAGTGAGTTTACAGAATGCTCCGGTACTGCTACCGCTATGCGCGGGAGGATGCGCAGTGGTCGAGGAGGTTGCGCAGTAGCTGCGTAGCCTGCGCATCAGCTCTATACTTATCTACACAAGATTCGCACCTGAGACCTCATGTCGAGAGGTGGCTGAGTCGTCTAAGATGTCGAATGCGTCCACTGTGAACTTGGTGTGGGTTCGATCCCCGACTCATGAATTCTAAATTATTACTTGACTCTACCATTGTTCATTGTTTTACTGCAATATTTCATCAAGCAGTCATTCCAAAACGCGTCCTTTTAATTTAAAGTAATTTTAAGTCTTCTTCTACTAACGACTAGGGCATGGCCCTGTTTGTCAAGCCTTCGAGTGCCGAGCACAAAATATTAAAAATATAATAATTATTTGTAAAGATTCGTCAAGTCAATAAAACAAATAGCAACAGGAACATTTAAAATTAAAGTATGCCTCATGTCGTAATTTTTGGTTTAAAAATAAAACTAACACTGATAGGAGGGTAAAAATAGGGCCGCAAAGCGGCCCATTGATGGCGCGGAGCGCCTTCAGGGGGTTGGGCCGCGTAGCGGCCAGGGGGCGTAACCCCCTAGTTTTTAGTTATCCGCTGAGCGATGATGCAAACTTGTTAGTAAACAAAGGCCGCCATCTTCTCAGCAAAGCTGGTAAGCGCCCTGGAGAGCAGGCTGAGCGCTGAGCGATTTTGCTGAGATGATGGCGGCCTTTGCTTACCTCAGCGGATAACTCAGAAAACGTTTAACAACACTTCGGCTGAGCTCAGCCACTCAGCGGATAACTCAGCGGTTGCATTTCTGACTTTAACAACGCGTCTCATGGCTGAGCGCTGAACAATTTCGCTGAGAAGATGGCGGCCTTTGTTTACAAACTGGCAGCTTAGCGGATAACCTCAGAAAACGTTTAACAACACTTTCGCTAAGCTCAGCAACTCAGCGGATAACTCAGAAGTCGCAATTCTGACTTTAACAACGCGTCTTATGTCTGTCCCCCCACCAGGAACTCAGTCCATTCAAGAGCTGGTGCGCAACCCGTTCCGTGAGCCGCCGTAGCTGTGTATGCCGGGTTGCGGGAAATCATTCGACGCAGGAACTTCGATCCCGCTTTTCAAGTTCCAATTCACGTATGTGGGGAGAGTAGTTTCAAGTTTGGTGAAGCTATGTGTTCTTAAATGGTATGAGACTGGGATTTATAAACTTTGTCTTAGCTTTGAAACAAGTATGCGTGGCAATTAACTTTTCGAGAAGTGAGAGAATTTTAAGATCCGTAAATTTTGGCTACCATACCTAATGATTGGCTTTTAATTTTTCATCAGGAGACCGGAATGCTGCTTATGATCAATTTTTGGAGGATCTGCAAAAAGGAGGAACTGGTGAATGTCGTTATGGATTATTTGATTTCGAATATACTCATCAATGTCAAGGCACCTCTGAGGTAAGGGTCATTCCATGCCAACTGGTGCTACATTGGAAAAATGACCCCCTCAGAATTTGATGAGATTTGGCCTACTCAAAGTACATGCATAGCTTAATAAAAAACCAAAATTTTAACTTGATTCGACCACCTGTTAGGCTTATATTAGACACTGGAAGTTCGCGAAAGTTGGCCTCTTTCGGGGGATTGCAGCACTTTATTGATGTGTAACTTCAAAACGATTCATCCAAAATCGACCTTTCTGGTTTCGTTGGAAAGCCCGGAAAAAGAGCTTTGCAGACATGTACAACCAAGTTGGGCTTCACTCAAATAAATTTTTAGGCGCAAATTTTAATTTTCAAAGCGATATAACCCGAAATCGAACCTTTTGATTTCTTTGAAAATTTCACGAGTTATTGATGAGACCTTCGACTACGCGTGTGCAAATTTTAGAGTGGAGACTTTGCGGTGTCGAAAGTTACAAGATGAAAAGTTTGGAATACGACACTCTACCGCGGCTTAAGCAGTCTCCTATCCCGAGTTCCAGGAATCATCCCCGAACTTGAGCCGAGACGGCGCATCGTGCATTGCGAATCTATTGTGCCTGTGTCGCTTGGACCAAGTTCAAGGATGATTCCCGTAACTCGGGATTGGAGACTGCGTAAGCCGCGGTAGAGTGTCGCATTCCAAACTTTTCCTCTTGTAACTTTCGACACCGCAAAGTCTCCGCTCTAAAATTTGCACACACGCAGTCGAAGGTCTCATCAATATCTCGTGAAATTTTCAAAGAAATCAAAAGGTTCGATTTTGGGTTATATCGCTTTGAAAATTAAAATTTGCGCCTAAAAATTTATTTGAGTGAAGCCCAATTTGGTTGTATATTTCAGAGACACTCTTTCTCATGGTTTTCCAACGAAACCAGAACGGTCGATTTTGGATGAATCGTTCCAAAGCTACACATCATTAAAGTGATGGCATCCCCCGAAAGAAGCCAACTTTCGCGAAAATGCAGTGTCTAAGAAAGGCCCATCTGGTGGTCGAAGCAAGTTAAAATTTTGGCTTCTTACCGAGCTATGCATGTACACTACACTAAGTAAGCCAAATCTCATCAAATTCTGAGGGGGTCACTTTTTCAAAGTTGCACCTGTTGGCATGAAAAGACCGTTAAGTTTTCCATCATCTGTTAATTTAAATTTCACTGCAAACTACCTGCTTTTACTCGCTTTGATGGCCTGCGCAGCTAGCCAGGGGGCTTCCATCCCCTGCACGTTCTTTAATTGCTTAAAGAAAAAGAGGTTGCTTTGCGACTTTTGCCATTCATCAAGTTGTTCTGAGCTCAAAATCAAAGTTGTCCAAGAAGATACAGGAATTCCCTAAAGTTCCGTGTACCCCATTTGCTTCTTTAAATGATTTTATCTGATGAATGTGATCAGTCCTGTCAGTGATTTTTTTTTTTTAAGCGGTGAAGCGTTTTGTTTTTTACTATTAATTTTTGCCAAACAAGCTTTAGTAACTGGCATTGGCTTTTAACTTCCAGAGTAAGTTACGTTTTGCTTAGTGTGACTCTTATTAGGTAATTAACTTAAGAGAACTCTAAATCAAGAACTAGTGATAATGAATGCAGGAGTGGTACGTCCAGAGTTAATTTCTGGTGATGGCAAGCTGCGTTTTTAGTGCTTTATCACAACCACCAACTGTATTTCTGCCTTATCCTCCGAAATTCTCTCTCCAGCACTTAAAATTAAGGACAAGTGAATACCTCCTTAAAAATAACCATCAACGACACTCTTTTTGCAATGTATTTAGAGATAAATAAAGACATTTGGTGAAGGGCACCCTAGGGTGCGTCAAAAAAAATGAAAGTCTGAAATGTTCCGCTCCCCAGGCGGCAATCGATGACGTTTGGTAAAAAAACATGTTTGCCAAAATTTGGGCCAATTTCAATCATTTTAAATGGTGCCAAAGGTCAATTTTGTGATGAAATTATGATACAGGGTTATTCAAAAGTTACGCACCACTGGCCATAACTTTAGTTCTAATTATGATATCGATTTGCGGTTTGTGGCGTCCTTCCTCATATCGAGGGGGAAACTTTTCGAGGTACTTTTCAGTTCTTCATCCCCCCCAGGGGGAGTCGGGCGGGGGGCAACTCAAAAATTTCAAATGGCAACCCCCATCATGTGATACATCGTTAGAAAGAGCATGAAAAAAGAAAATTTTTAGCGCAAACCGGAAGTCGATCTGACCCCCCTATCAAAAGTTAGGGGGGTCCAAAGGTTATTTAGGGGGTCCGTATCTTCATTTTTTAGAGTAGCTTCGGCGGCTCTTGGACATACCGTTTCTCTTTTCAAAGAGTCCTCGAATACTCTAAGTCTGATACCGAAGTCTTCATATTGCCCCCGGGCCACCACAGGCCCCCCGTAGGGGGGGATGGGCCTGTTACAATGAAAAATTGCATTAAAATACGAAAAGTCACAGAAGTGCTTCAAACTTAGCATCAAATCCGAGTGGAACTTCTTGCCAATGTTAACGCAAACGCAGCCTGCGAGTTTAAAGTGAGTTTTCAAAACTCTTAGCCCCCTGCCCCCCTCATTTTTGGTTGTAGAGCGGGTAAAAACCGGGAATTCACTGCAAATAATGCCCGAAACTAATGTCCAACTTGAGAAGGACCCTTGAAACGTTGCGACCAGTCGGAGCATTGACGTACAGGGACTGCCGCCCCCTTAAAGTACGGAAACATCCATAAAACCCTTCGCTGCCCCCCTCATTTTTCGTTGCGGAGCGGGTAAAAACCGGGAAAATTCGCCAGAAATGATGCCCGAAACCACTGTAGAACTTGACGCGGACCCGTGAAACGTTGCGCCCAGTCGGAGAACTGCAACACAGGAATTGCCGCGCACTTTAAGGATGGAATCTTCCATAAAACCCTTCGCTGCCCCCCTCTTTTTTCGTTGCAGAGCTAGTAAGAACCGGGAAATTCGCCAGAAATGATGACCCGTTGGTTTTATGGATGTTTCCGTACTTTAAGGGGGCGGCAGTCCCTGTACGTCAATGCTCCGACTGGTCGCAACGTTTCAAGGGTCCTTCTCAAGTTGGACATTAGTTTCGGGCATTATTTGCAGTGAATTCCCGGTTTTTACCCGCTCTACAACCAAAAATGAGGGGGGCAGGGGGCTAAGAGTTTTGAAAACTCACTTTAAACTCGCAGGCTGCGTTTGCGTTAACATTGGCAAGAAGTTCCACTCGGATTTGATGCTAAGTTTGAAGCACTTCTGTGACTTTTCGTATTTTAATGCAATTTTTCATTGTAACAGGCCCATCCCCCCCTACGGGGGGCCTGTGGTGGCCCGGGGGCAATATGAAGACTTCGGTATCAGACTTAGAGTATTCGAGGACTCTTTGAAAAGAGAAACGGTATGTCCAAGAGCCGCCGAAGCTACTCTAAAAAATGAAGATACGGACCCTCTAAATAACCTTTGGACCCCCCTAACTTTTGATAGGGGGGTCAGATCGACTTCCGGTTTGCGCTAAAAATTTTCTTTTTTCATGCTCTTTCTAACGATGTATCACATGATGGGGGTTGCCATTTGAAATTTTTGAGTTGCCCCCCGCCCGACTCCCCCTGGGGGGGATGAAGAACTGAAAAGTACCTCGAAAAGTTTCCCCCTCGATATGAGGAAGGACGCCACAAACCGCAAATCGATATCATAATTAGAACTAAAGTTATGGCCAGTGGTGCGTAACTTTTGAATAACCCTGTATTTTGGTTTAGACCTCGATTTCGTACAAAAAACTCGATTTTACGCTGAAATCGTGCGTTTACGAGAAATATGTCAAAGAACTCGACTTGTAGAGGATGAAATTTTACACTAGGAGGACGTGTTTGTAACCGATAAAAATCAAATTGAACTAGAAAAACTCAACTCGGTATTTATTTTTTTTGTCCTCAGAATTTCCGAGGTCTTACTAAGTAGAGGTTTAAAAGACTCATTTTTCACGAAAATAAGTCGAAAGAGTGTATAAATGAACTGTAGGCAAGAGTTGAGGATGCAAATGTCATCAGAACTTCCTCAGTTTCAAGAAAAGTTCCAACTATTTTGCACAATCCTCCAAAAAGTGTACGGTAACTCGAGAAGCAGGATCGTGCTATAATAGTAGGGGGAAAGTGCGGTTTGACCGGGAAAAATTGCGTAACAAACTTTCCCTATGTAATAGTCATCAGTAGGTCCCCCTGAACAACTTCCTAAAAGTTAAAAATGGCCCGACCCCGGAATATCCTTCAAAAAAGTTAAAATTGAAAATGGCGGTCGTAATAAGAGGGTCCGGGAAATCGGTATTTTAAAATGCTCATCCTGTCTCATCATGTGAGGTATCATTTCCTATGTAATTTTGGTCGTAGATTTCATAAATAAATTCCGCAAGGCCCTCCGGCCAAAGGGGGCGCTCCAAATCAAAGATGGCGGCCAAATGTGAAAGGCAGGAGGTTGCATTTTTTTAAATATTCACTGAAGGAACAAGGAAAGTGAAGTTTCTTTATTTTCATGTATTTATGGCCAAGAAACTTAAATTTGATGTTATAAATGTATTTAATAAAGGAAATTAAAGGAAACATACGACCACCGAGAGAAACGTAAGCTCAGAAGAGGCCTTGCAGAATTCATTTATGAAATCTACGACCAAAATTACATAGGAAATGATACCTCACATGATGAGACAGGATGAGCATTTTAAAATACCGATTTCCCGGACCCTCTTATTACGACCGCCATTTTCAATTTTAACTTTTTTGAGGGATATTCCAGGGTCGGGCCATTTTTAACTTTTAGGAAGTTGTTCAGGGGGACCTACTGATGACTATTACATAGGGAAAGTTTGTTACGCAATTTTTCCCGGTCAAACCGCACTTTCCCCCTACTATTATAGCACGATCCTGCTTCTTGAGTCGTACACTTTTTGGAGGATTGTGCAAAATAGTTGGAACTTTTCTTGAAACTGAGGAAGTTCTGATGACATTTGCATCC